TTTTTTAAAAATTTTAATTTTTCATAAAAGTAAATCAGAAGGGAATTTATAGTAAATAAGCAGGCAAATTTGCCTGCGAACCTCTACAGTTTAAGGGATAGGATAGAAAATCAGGACTTCCACTATATATAACTTGTGTCAATTCTTGAACTCTTTTTTTGCAGTATTAACAAGGTCTATAGTCTTTAAAGTTTTTTCATGCTCTTTCTCTAATAATCAGTGAACTTCTTAGGAAGATAAGTTTTCTTTTGGTTTTACTAGAGGTAGTATTAAAGATGAAATACTAGCTGATAAATCCTCATCAAGTTACTCACTTAAATTACGACGATATCTAATAGATCAGTCAAATTCTTCTTGTAATGTTCCAATAGAAACTCTCTCACTAGAGAAGCCACCAGAAAGTGATTGAGGCTTTTCTGTTATTTTAGTAAGATTCTCTTATAATATTCTATTTAAAATTTCTGCGTCTTCTAAAGTATTTCAGATATCTTGTAATTTTCTATTACACTTAGCTATTATTTTTTTAGCTTGTAAAAGATTGTCTTCAAGATTTTTTAACCAATTCTGAACTCTGTATAAATTTATTTCATTATTAGCAGTACATTCTACTTATTTTAAATAATTTACTCAGATAATAGTATGATAATTAATTTTTTTATATTCATCTATTCAATATATATAGTTTTGTATTCCTGATATACCTGATGAGCTAGAAGTTATATTATTCAATAAAGGTTGATTATGATCCAATGATGATAATGACAATGAAGACAATGAAGAATCTTTTGTTAATGGTATTGAAAGGACCTCTCTAGGATCAGGTATATTACTCGATAAGGCCATAATAAGATCACTAATTCTATTTTTTAGCCAAAATATCTCTTCATGAAGCTTAGATAATTCTTCTGATATCTGATATTCTCAAAAAGTTATAAATAGCAATCTACACTCTGCAATTATTTTCAGATTATAGATTTTTATCTCTAACGCTGTTATCTGACTTTTAAGATCAAATATTTTCTGCTTTGAGATCTCTTTTATTTTATATAATCGAGATATCTCTAGCTTATTATAATATAAATCGCGCTTTAGGGATTGTATCTGACTCTCATATACTTCATTTTCAGACATTAACATTATTCTATCTTTTTTTTATAAATAGTTCTATCTTTTGAGAGATAAGAAAAGGATAAATAAAAAGTAAGGGTTCTTACAATCCAAATAGATCTGAATGAGGCTCAGAGAATTGAAAAAAATATCATATTATGTGAAATATATTATCATCTAATTAAATATTATCTTAATTCTAAATCCCTAAAAAGTACGTGTAAAAAAGAAGGACATCAATTTTTCCTAAGTAAATGCAAAGATTTTAGAGAATCAAAAGTCATACCAAACTAATAAAACTTTTTCAAAATACATTCCTAGAGTCAGCTATAGATGAATAACATAACCCAACTGTATATACCAGTACAATATATTATTTTTTACTCATAATCACTATAAAGGTAAAAATACTTAACATTATAGATTGCGTTTTATAATATAAGGCTTCTGTTCTACTCACATTGAAGAATAGCTCAGAGGTTGCTAAAGTATTTAGAAAAGTATATAATATTCAAAATAATCCATTAACCTAATCAAAACTTCTACAATGTGACAGAGATTGTGAATTTATAGGTGAGACTTCCTGTTTAATGTAAAAGTATGATGTTATAATTTAGGTGATTAGTTCATATAGTCATAGGGACTTACTTTTGTGAAGCGTTTCAATCAAATACCATATAGCGCTGACATTAGTATCAGATACTATTCAAGCAAATCTAAGCTTAATTTTGAATAGTATCTAGGGGTACTACATTCGGAGAAAGGTACTACATAAGAGGGATATTACACAACGGGAATACAATAAAAGGGAATATTAATCATAATTGTTGATCATCTTTTTTTACTTTCAAATTTTTAAATTTTTAACATTCCTTTGAAATAAAACTATAATATGTTATATGATATGAATGACACGAATTTCGCGAATGATGCAAATTTCGCAGATAACGTGATTAGAATTTTATTTATTTTAATTTTGGTCTTTTTTTTCGACTTTAAACCTTTTTTTGGTTTTTTTTTTGTCCTTATAATTACAAAATAAATTTGCCATTTCTTTACAACTTTGTCATAAGTAATATGGGTCCGCACATAAATAAAAATACTAACCATGCAAGAATATCAGAAAAAGTACGAAGAGTATGAAATGTAAGAGAAAAACTTACTGTTGTTATGTATCATAAAAAGGGACATAGTAAAAATGGAACAGCAGCTAAATTTAATATTGAAACCAAACAAGTTCGCAATTGGGTATCTAAAAAAGAACAATTTATGAAAGCACGACTTAATTTAAAATGTTTAAATAAAGGTAAACCTCCAAAATATCCAGCTTTAGAGGTAGCTTTAGTTGAGTGAATAAAGGAAAGAAGAAGTAACCAGCAAGCAGTTTCTCGAAATATGATTCAAGTAAAAGCAAAAACTTTAGTACAACAATCACAATGGCAAGCATCCTGTCCTAATGTACAATCTTTTGCTTTTAGTAACAAATGGTTGGATGGTTTAATGAGCCGTAACAACTTAAGTAATCATTGTCATACTACCATCGCTCAGCATTTACCAAACAATTTATATGAAAAACAACAAGAATTTTTAGCATTTGTTATGTATAGGCAAATACAACATGATTATCCCTTAGCATTTATTGGTAATATGGATGAAACTCTATTGACATTTGATTTACCAAATAATACCACTGTTGATAAAATGGGAGCAAAAACTATTAGTATTCGTTTAACAGATCATGAAAAAACTAATTTTACAGTAGTTTTAACTTGTATAGCAGATAGAACTAAACTTCCTCCTCTTGTAATTTTTAAACTTAAAAAAATTCCAAAAGGAAATTTTTCACAAGAAGTTATTGTTCGTGATAATCCAACTGAATGGATGAATGAAAATGAAATGTTATATTAGATTGAAAATGTTTGGATTAAACATGCTGAAAGATTTTCTAATCCACAATCATTATTAGTTTTAGATTCATTTTCAG